CTTACCAGATCCCTGTGATATTAGAGCTACGGCAAGTAGAGGGAACAGGGAGGAGGGAGACAAGTCCTCTGAGGTGGAGCAGAATGCCTTTCATTTGGGTGCCTTTGCCTCCACTGGGAGATCAGGACTCCACTGCTGAGGAATGGCTTTGATACAGCAGAAGTGGGAGGAAGGGGTGAAGTTGGTGAGGAAATGCTCATGGGAGTTTTTGCCTCCTTTCCGCTCTTTGCTGTTACACATCAGAAATAGATACCCTAACTGCAAGGGTTCCCTGGACTTGGAAGAAAAGTAACCAGCTTGATGGTCAGAGTCAGAATAAAAGTGATATCCTCCTCCCACAGCAGTACCCAGCCCCTCACCTACACAGCTCCAGAGACTTGGGGATAGTGTAGATGGGGACCTGGTTTTGTGGTTTGTATCTAGGTGTCATGCTCAGAGGTGGGGCTTTTCAGAGGTGGCTGGTTCTAGGGTGTGTGATGCTGGGATTAAGAGTGCCCCACCCTGGGTGGGGCCCTTAGGGCCTAGATGGAATATAAGGAACAGAAAGAGGGCTATTGCTGCTGGTTTGCTACCTCATCACTTGCTACTTCCCTGCTTTGCTGCCTTCTGCCTACTCTGCCATACCATGGACTATTTCTCCTCTTTGATGTCCCTCTGCCATGCTATCCTGCCTTGGAGCCAGCTGACTATGAACTGAAGCCTCTACAAACTGTGAGCTGAAATAAACCTTTCCTTTTTTAACTTTAAGTATCAGGTATTTTGTCTCAACGAGAAAAGTAATTAAGACACTGGGTATACAAGCTGTCCTCTGATCCCAGAGCACAGGCCTGAGCGTCTAAGAGGCAAAGTCAGTTGACCTCAATATTTCCTGCTAGGCCCCATGCTCCATATGAGTCCAGAAGTAGGTAAAAATCTCTGGGAGACTAACCAGGTAGTCTTTGGGACCTGTCCCATCTGTCACTTGAGGCACATGTGTATCCCTGGTCTGGCCCCCAGTATATATACTGAGGCCAGAGTTGTATCCTTCACCAGGGCAAGCAATTAGAGCTATGGAAACTAAAGAACATGACTGTTTATCATTTTCCTTTTTCTCATGCTCACAAGCAGTCATAGGCTGATAGACATACTTAAGCTCCAGAGGCCAAGTGTGTTGGGGAAGTATGTGAGTTGGGCTGTGGTGGTTGAATGCATTTTTAGGAGGTGCTAAATTGGACTTGAAGCCTGAAGTATGGCTATGGGAGAGTATAGAAGCCCTTGCTTTTCTGAGCCCTGTTGGAGGCCTTGGAGGCGCTTCAAGGAGCTGCTATTCTGGAGGTCAACTTAAACCCTGTCTTACTGTCAGCAGGGTAAATGAGGACCACCTCCCTGTGTTCAGCCTGCCTTGACTTCCCTCTGCAAGTTTGTTAGTGCACAAGGGGTATGCTGGAGGCCATTGGTCAGGATCACATTGGCTTGGGGAGCCACCCTACTCCATCCTGGCACCACTGCTCCCAGCCCTTCAAACATGGGGAGTGCTGGGGCTGCCAGAAAGAACTGGGCTGGTCCTCAGACAAATTAGTCTATCAGCATTCTGCACACAGCCACACATACACAGTAATTGACGAGGCGAGAGTCTGGGGGAACAGAAGGGGTGGATCAGTCTGGCTCTCTGGTACTGACGGGCTGGGTGCTTGACAAGCAGCAGGGGTTGGTGCCTGGTGTGAGCCTGTGCCTGTCTGAAGATGGAGATGCTTAAGTCCATAGGGGAGGTCTGGTGAGAGGCCCTTCTAGGACTGCCTCAGACTGGTTGGAAGCTACGGGGTTCCATGGTTTGGCTGGGTGTGCGTGTGAAGTGGGGAAGCCTCTGATCCATCTGTGTTCAGGTTCCTCGCTTGTGAGTCCAACTTTATTTTTACTCCTGAGAAGGACTGTGGTTTCTGTCTGGCCTGGAGAATCCCTGTTCTATCAGCAGATTGAGAAATCTAGATGCTCTGAATTGTTTCCTTTTCTCCTCGTGGCTGGGACTACAAAATTCCCCTCTAAGGGGCCTGGTCTGGGCATCCATGGATTGGAACTTAAGTCTGACTCAAGATGTGATGGGAAAGTTTGGGTCCTTATTAAGATCTCCCTGAGTTATGGTAGTCTTCAGGAAGGTTGGGGGTCTTCAGTCTCAGTTAGGCTGTGAGTACTTAAAAGGCTTCAGAGTGCTTAAAAGAGCTCCCTAGGAAAGAAGACAGGTTCTTTTCTTCCTTGTCTTACATCTCATCACTAGAGAGCAGCTCCTGCTCAGCAGCCTGGGCCAGTGTTGGGTGCATAGGGGAGGCCCAGGATGCTACATGGGTGCCAGTGCTATGGTGGCAGCATCATCTAGATAATGAGAGTGGTTTTAGGTGCTGTCATTCTAATATTTGTCTTTGTCCTCTAGCCCTGGCCTAGTATATCCAATCTGGCCAAGGATTTCATTGACCGCCTGCTGACTGTGGACCCTGGAGCCCGAATGACTGCACTGCAGGCCTTGAGGCACCCATGGGTGGTGAGCATGGCAGCTTCTTCATCTATGAAGAATCTGCACCGCTCTATCTCCCAGAACCTCCTCAAGCGTGCCTCCTCACGCTGCCAAAGCACCAAGTCTGCCCAGTCTACACGTTCCAGCCGCTCCACACGCTCCAACAAGTCGCGCCGTGTGCGGGAGCGGGAACTGCGGGAGCTCAACCTGCGATATCAGCAGCAGTACAATGGCTGAGCCGCCAGCTGTGGCACAGACATGCTGTGGTCCCAGCTTGGCTGTGCTCTTCTGTGCCATCTGGGCCCAATACCCTCTTTTGAAATAGGCCTCATGGCTAGTGGTATGTGGAGAATACCTGACCCCCAGCACCTTCTCTGTGCCTTCAGCAGCCCCTGTTCACAATGGGTCTGGGTTTGGTATGATGTAGTGGAGATGGCCCAGGAGGCTGAGAACCCCTTATCTGAGAGCCTGGCCTGGCACTGATACCTTTTTTGGTGGGAAGCTGCTCTGTATGAGTTAGGGGGAGGGACAGGTCCTAGCTTTCATTGTCTTGCTCATCCTTTGGCTCTTCCTCAGACCAAAGGGGCCTGCAGTACTGGGTAGAGGGTGTCCTATGGCCCAAGACCCTTTGGAACAGTTACTTCTGACACTCCTTTCATCCACAGAGCCTTCCTCCCTAGCTCCCCACATTCTTTGCCATTCTAATCTTTAAGATTAGGCTCCAGTGGCAGGCCTAACTTTGGCTTAGTCAAAGACTGTAGGACCCAGGTGCCTTGACTGGACCAAGAGCTTCTGGTTAGATCGAAGCCCCTATCTACCATCCAAAATCTGTCTTGCTTTGTGGTGCTGCCAGAGACCCCTCCTGACCCCAAGACTTGCCAGGACCTCCAGAAGCAGTGCCATGGCATGGACCTTAGCCTTGGTGGTGTAGGCCCACCCCAGCTCCAATTGAACTGAGAAAGTTTCTTTTACCACTCTCAGTTTCTTCTTTGCAGAGACTTCCATTGCCTCCCTCTCCCCTTGGATGCCCATTTCATTCCCTGGGTGCCTCCTTCCCAACTGTAGGGGTTAAAGGGAGCCCTACTGCTGCTACCTGAGGAATGGGGGCACCTGGGCCAAGGCAGAGGGTTCCCCCTTAGGATCTCATTGTCAGCTCTAGTGCCATTTTTTGGCACTGACTACTCATTGCCTCTTCCCTTCAGTGCCACTTTGCCCTCCTCTGCAACTTTCCGAAGGCGCCACCTTCTGTCTGGCCTGGGAATAGGCAGCCAGAGGTGAGCAATGGATCTCCATATTGCATACCCAGTCTTCCAAAAGGAAGTGAAAAGAAAGGAGCTGCTGCTTTGCAAGAGGGTCCTGGACTGCTCAGCTACCTTTCTCAGCTTCTGTGCACCTTTCCCTGGAACTTAGCCATACTGTGTGACCTGTCTCTGAACCCTGGGTGCCTGGGGTACTGGCCTTGCTGAGAGAACTGCCCTTGTCCTTTCCACCCTGTGCCCACTTCCTTTCATAGCATTAACCTTCCAGTTGGGCCCCATCGAGTCTCAGGCTAGAGGGAGCCCTTGTGGAAGGTGTGTGGGAGGGTTTGGGGGCTCCTTTCCCAGAGGCCTGAGCCAGAATTGTACCAGTGGCTGTCATGGTGTCTCCGTGCCGCCGCCACCACCAACCATGCTGAAGCCCAAGGCTTCTCCCTCCACAGCTGCTTTCAGTGGGTAAGAAGGGGGCAGGGCCGAGCCTCTGCCTTACCTAGGGCCCTGCTAGCTGGGAGAGTTTGGCACCCACTCAGCTGTTCGCAGTGGGCAGCCTTGGGTCACATTCTCCTCTTTCTGTATGTGCCACCTCCAGTGGGTACCAAACCAAAGAGACCACTCTGTGCCAAGCTGACTGTGCCTTATACACCCCTCCTCTATCCCTACTGTTCTGGGCAAGAGGGAATGGAAAGGCCAAGCCCCACAGCCTCAGAATTTTCTGCCACTTTCCCAAATATCTCTAGGGTCCTGAAGCCCTGGGGATTTATTTCCTCTCTTGCCCAGGGTAGGCCTGGTCCAAAGAGTAGGACAAGAAAATTTGGAGTCTTGGGCCTTCATCCCATGGACCCTGGATGGAGAATGTGCAGTTATTTATTTTGTGTACTCAGTTTGTAAATGTATCCTCTGTATTCAATAAACAGGCTGCCCTCCCCAGGGACGGCTGCCTATTCACTCCAACAGCCCTAGCTCTATGTCTTGGGACCAAGGGATTGCCCCAGAGGAGGAAGGATGGGGCTCCATCTGAGATGGCTACTGTAGGAAGATCCTGACCTCTCAGCCCCTCTGGGTCAGAAGATAAAGTTTAGGGCCGGGGATTTAGCCCAGTGGTTCCGTTGCCTGCCTCGAAAGCCCAAGGACCGGAGTTCGATCCCCGGTACCAAAAAAAAAAAAAAAAAAGAAGATAAAGTTTAAGTGGGGGTGGGTAGGACCTCCAAGAGCTTCTCCTTTTCCGTGAGCCAGGAGAAAGACAAGGGTACACAAGAGGACAGAGGTTGGGGGTCTTTATTAGGTTGGGATGGGGGAGAAAGCCTGTAGTAGGCTCAGTTGGAGGCTATGACCTGGTTAATCCAGCTGTTGAACTTGCTAACCCGAGTGTAGATAGCAGGTGCTTGCACATTGCAGTTATCAGTCCCCCAGGAGACAACACCAATAAGCACCCATGTGCTCCCTTTCTGGCAGACAAGAGGGCCTCCCGAGTCACCCTGATGGGGTAAAAGAGGGGAGAGGTCAGCCTGGCAGGTTAGGGGGGATAAGCTGTGGCCAGTGCAGAGGTGGTGCCTGTGCTCACCTGGCATGAGGAGACACCTGAGGCACCTGCACAGACCATGGAGGCAGTGATTTGTGAGCCCCAATATTGTCGGCACTGATTCACAGTGACCAGGGGCAGAACTGCCTGTTGGAGGCGTGCTGGTGTCACATTGCCTGTGGGCCCGGAAGAGATAGTCAGACTGGCTCAGAGCTTATTACCCACTCCCCCAGCTCAGGCCTGAGTTCCTACCCACGCCACTGAGGCGGCCCCAGCCAGTGGTGACACACTTGAGGCCATCATAGAGTGCTTCATTTGAGGAAGCCAGGCAGACAGGTGAGATGCGTGCTGTATACTGGACTGGTGAGGCAAGCTTCAGGAGCGTCAGGTCATTGTTCAGAGTGGTGGGGTTCCAGCTTGGGTGTGTAATGGCCTATGGGGCCAGGAAAGGGATAATATAGGACCAAGGTGGGCACAGGCACCCAGAGTTGGTGAGGTGGGTGAGCCAGGGCATGCCTGCATGCCATCCCACATATGTAGCCAAGCACTCACCTTTGAGATGGACCGCACCTGCACAGGCTCAGCGTTGGATGATAGATCATACTCGCCCAGGACGACAGAGTGGCTGCCAGGACTTCAGTGAGAGTGGCGTTGGACAGCCACTCAGTGCAGAACAAGAAGGGGGCATCTTTGGGAAGGAGGTGGGAAGAGGTAGGCTGAGCAACGCACACAGAATGCACACTCACCTAACTTGGCAGTGGGCAGCAGTGACCACCCAATTCGTGCTGATGAGAGAACCACCACAGAAGTGGAAGCCGTTTCTGTCCTGGGATCAAGGGTTAGAGAGATGGGAAGACTCAGGCAACAGTAGGCATGAAGCACCTAGGACCCTTGCCCTGCCCTTAGGGTGCATGTACCTGCAGGGACACTTGCCAGGGCCAGGAGCCTGATGCTGCATTCTCCCCGTTGACAATCCTCTGGCTGAAGCTCAGTGCTGGTCTGATGGCAGGAACGCCACAGCCTGGCCATTGGGCTGATGAGGATCCATACCCCAGCCCACTCCTCCCCACCTCCTCCTGGGTGCCCCCAGGCTATGCCCCCAGCAGTATCCAAATTGAGTGTTTTCGGGCCAGGGATTTAGCTCAGTGGTTTTGCCGCCTGCTGCGCAAGCGCAAGGACCTGAGTTCGATCCCCACTACCAAAAAAACCCCCCAAAAAACAAATTGAGTGCTTTACACTAGCTCTGTTCCCAGTACCTAATGGGCCACCACAGCTGTCACATTTAGCCCATTTACCACATCCAGCCTCCCCCCAAATCTTACCCATCCTCCAACATCTCTCCAACCTAGCCCCTACAGTTCCTCGACTGCACTCCTGCCCTTCAACCCAGGCCACTTTTCTATTTGACTCCTGTGAGTCTCCTTCCTCTCTACCCCTGAACAGTTCATACCCTTCATGCAGCCAGAGAGCTCTTTCTAAACTAAGCACCCATTTTCACAGCTCAACTTCCTAAGGTCTCCCTCAAGCTCCTTTCCCTTTTGTGAGACAGGCCCCTGTCTACCTTTTGGCCCTTCATAGCCCCACAGACCCTTTCCTGCTTCTCTGCTCTGGCACATCCTTTTTCCGTTTTGATGCTGTTCAGCTGCTTCCCTTCCAGCCAGACTGTTCTCTTCCCTGGCTGGTGCTGGGAGCTGAGTTGCACCAGGCTGTTCATTCAGGGCTAATTTTGACCCACTCACCCCAGGAGGAGCCTAGGAGAACCAAGGTAAAGGTTAGGCTGAGCAGTAGCATTGTGGCAGGTATTAGGGTAACTGCTGGGTCTGGCTTTATTTATGGGCATCCTTGTCCTTGGGACAAAGTCCCAGGCCAGCTGTGTAGGCTTAGCCCCTTCCCATACTCCACTCAGGAGGAGTCTCTTTAGGCCAAGTTCCCCTGACGTACATCTGTTCTTAACAGACAGCCCAGGTGTGAGGTTCTCACCTCCACCGCCCCCAAATCCTGGCATCTGATTGGCTCCCTGAATTACCTCATACCCTAAGTGCTAGATACTGGGTATCAAGGAGATATAGTTACATTAGGTCTGCAATGTCAACCTGGTGACTGGCATCAAGGAAGTCTTCTAAGGCTATCAGGCACATTGGGCTCTCAGAGAATACTGCTCAGAATCCAAGAGTGGCGGAGGAACCACCAGGTGCACCCAGTCTTCTGTGAAAGGCTAGCGGGTGGAGGTTCTGGCTAGTTGCTAATCCTAACACATCATCTTGGGGATTCATGAATTTGGAACACAGGTTTTCTCAGAGATAGTGACTCTTCCATTGTGAAGTAGGGTGGGACACAAACCCTCATGTCTGGCTCTGAACCCCACATTCTTCGCTAAGTGTGAGCTGAGCCCTCAGTGAATGGCACTCTGTACTGAGGTTGCAGGGTGACAGCCATCAAACATCTGAACAGCTTGCCCTAGTGTCTACAGCTCCAGGCTGAGCTTGAACTGAGAAAAGACACTCTCCAAAGTGACAACAGGTGAGTGAGAAACTGAAAGTGTAAATAAGGATGAAAATGATTAAAACGAATAATTGATAATTTGAAATAGGAAAAGGTCCAAAGGTGGAGGGGTGGCGGGAGGGGAAGGGGAAAGGGAAGAAAGGAAAGGAAAAAGTATGAGAAAGAAAAAAAAAAAAAAATCTGTGTAAATAAGGAAAGGTGGTGGGGGTGAAGGGTGCATAGATAATGGGGAAAAAAATAAGAACTAAGATACATCATGTTCAGGTACAAACACCCAATGATAAATGTAAATGTATTGTATACCAAAGTTACAACAGGTGAGTTGGCTGGTCTCCTACTAGGGGGGTGGGGCTCTACTGACTCAGAAACACCTTAGTCCGAGCCAGGCGTGGTGGCAGACACCTGTAATCTCAGCCCTTGGGAGGTTGAGGCAGGTGGATCACTGTGAGTTCAAGGCTAACCTGGGCTACACAGTGAGTTCAAGGCCAGCCTGCCCTATAAGTGAGACCCTATCTCAAAACAAAACAAAATACCTTACTCCAAAAGTGAGATGAGTGAATGGTGTATAGAGGCATGGATGATAGATGATCATAATCAGGGGCCCAGGGCGATCCAGCCTGGAGTAGACCCTCCCTAAAGGTGGGTAGACTCTCCCTAACAGTTTTTTTTTTTTTTTTTGGTACCGGGGATTGAACTCAGGACCTTCCCTTACAAAGCAGGTGGCAGAACCACTGAGCTAAATCCCGGCCCTCTCCCTAACAGTTCTGAAGCCCCAGTGGAGCTCAGTCACTCAGTGGCTGCTCAGCAAGTTTCTTGGATAAATGTCTTATCCTCTCATGAGTCCTATAATACCTGTCAGCCAGAAAAATGAGTTGACCTGCCTAATCATGGCCCAGCATGTTCAGACAAAGCCCAGCTTTGTCTAAATGGCTCAGGTGGGTCTGGTCATCTGAGGGGTGTCACAGGTAAAGGTGAGGTAGGAGTGCAGAACACTCGGTGGAAACTTGCCCTTGGAGTTAGGGAGCAGCTCCTCTATCAGCACATTAGCCCTCAGGGCAGGCCTGACTGTGAGATGTGTGGGCTTTGTCCTGGGTCACTTGCACTGATGAATGAAGAAAAGCTCTGGGACTGGGCTGCCCACGGACCTTATGGGATTTACAACAGTGGACTAGAGGGTAAGAACAAGGAAGGGGAGTGTTGGGGGGAGCTGGCATGGAGTCAGATGAAGTTTTCGATGGGAGACAGGATGAAAGCTGTCTACCTTGACCCTGCAATCCTGGTTATTATGTTGGATTCAGGAGGTGATTGGTGATTAGGTGACAGGTGATTTAGCTACAGAGCCCTGCTGGCAGCCTGCCCTACTCCATCCAAGATATAAAATAATCTAGCCATCTGTTTAGGTGTTTGTGTTTTCCAGGTTTATTTCACTCATTTGGAGTTCTAAAGCCTCAGGTGACTTCACTCCACCTCCATGGCCTGAACAGTTTCCTCCAGGAGGTCCAGGTTCAGTGGCTTCACCATCTGGGTCAGGATTGCTGTGGTTCCAGGTGACAATCGGTAATGGCCAAGCCTGGGAAAGGGGAGGGGGAGCCTTTCACTATGTGACTTGTCTTTTTGCAGCCCCCTATTTCTGTCCCCAGCTATGGCCCCATTTTCCCTATGGTTCCCCCTTTCCCCTGCTCCCACCTCTCCACAGGGTCTGTAGGTGAGCTCAGAGTCCGAAGCAGCTTGGAGCCCATTGCAGTGATCACACATGCATCTACGCTGCCCCCAGAACCTAGGTCACCCAGGATCCCTGCGGTGATGGCTTCCACCAGCAGCCCCTGCGCAGCCTCCAGCTGAAATGATGTGCATGTGAGGTGTAATGGACCCTCTGGTGTTACCTCAGGCTCCAGCCTCGGACCTTAGTTAATTTTTTTTTTTTTGAGACAGGGTCTCGCTATATAGTTCAGGCTGGTCTTGAACTCGAAGCAATTCTCCTGCCTCAGCCTCCCAAGTGTTGGGATTACAGGCATAGGCCACCATGCCTGGCATCCTTTGTTAATCTTGAAGCCAAGACTCTACCTTTTTTTGGGGGGAGGTACCGGGTATTGAACTTGGGACCTTGAGCTTGCGAGGCAGGTGGCGGAACCACTAAGCTAAATCCCCAGCACCCCCCCCCCTTAAGACTGTACCTTTTGTCTGCGCTCAACCTCTTCTCTGCCCCTCCACCCCAACTTTCCTCCCCAGGTCTCTGCCTGCCTCCCTCCCAAGACCCTATGTTCCCTCCACTCACTTTCCTCTGCACAAACTTAGTCACCTACACTGTGGCCCCCTTTCCAGAAGTCTGCCCAACCACCCAGTCTTGTCTTGGTTCCCAACCTCTGGCTCACTGCATTTATCTCTGGGTCTTGGCCATCTCTGAAAGCCACATAGTCACCCATCTTCATCCCTCTCCAAAGTCCAGACTTTGGGCCTCATACAGGACACACCACACTTCTCTTCTCTTGGCTCCTAATGAGCCTCTGTGAACTTCAACATCTGCCCTGGAAGCTTTGGTACTGTGAGGACTACACTCCACCTTCCCTCCACTCAGTCGTCCCTTCTCTCCTTCCTCCTCCTTCCTTTCCTTCCCTGCCTTGCATACTGGGCCAGGGTCCCTCTGCACTTCCTTAGCTCCCGGGTGCTTTCCCACCAGTGACCATGTAGTAGGGGACAGAGATTGCTCACTGTCATGTTAGGCCGGAACCGGTCCTCCAGCACAGCCAGGGCCGCATCCTGCCCAGATCCTGCAAGCAGGAGGGGCATCTGAGGTCAGTTGTGGCCGCCTAGTCTGGGGGACAAACGTGAGGCTAAGGGTTGTTGGCCAGGGTCTGTGAAGAAGAGGCGGAAGTACCCTGCGCCGTGAAGGGCAGGCGGGTGTAGGACCCGTGGGGATGCAAGCCATACAGCTGCGGTCCCATCGGGTCTATGCCACCCACAATCAGGGACGCTGCCACGTGGCCTTGGAACCTGTTTGCAGGGGGCGTGGTTATCTAAAAGGTGGATCCAGGCCCCGCCCCGGCGCCGCCAACCCTGGACTGGAGCCCTGCCCCTTCCCATGGTTTGGCGGCCCGCGATGACATCACCCTTTCCTGTTGTTCAGCTCTTAGGCCGGCCTCTTCCTCTTGACTGGCCCGTCACAGTCTCCCTTTCTACTTTCCCTCCTAACAGCTCCTTCCCCGCAATTCCCCTCCCAGGGTCATTTAGTCTGGCTATCACACCGGAACAGAGTCTGGCGGAGGATGCGGGTGACCGTGGCTACGCGAGGCTCGCGGCCCGTGGACAGTGCGTGTAGCTCCATGTTAGACGACGCCATCCGCGTGGTCATCTCAGCATCCGCGGCTACTCCAGCCCCACAACAGCTGAGGGCCAAGGGAGAATGGGTGTGGGCAGGGCTAGGAAGTGCGGGGCCTGGGGTGGGATCGAGGGGGTGGTTGTTTCTTGCATGCAGGAACTGGGCTTGGGGATTCTCACTAGATTTTGGGGGCGATGTAGTGAATCTTCTCGCAGTTCTTGTCTGCTACGACCATATCGTCAGTGGCGCGCGTATCTGCTCCCAGGATGACACCGTCCTGTGGACGGGGAGGGGCCGCTTAGTGCCCATCTGTTCCTCCCACCTCGGCTGTTCCTCTAGTCCCCCAGTACCAAGCCCCTGCTCACTCGGAACACCAGGCCCGCAATAGTGGTCCCAGTCTTGCGTGCATGAGGGGCCCGGAGCCCCGGAAAGGCGCGTTCCAAGGATGCATTTCTAGAAAGGGAGGAGGGTGGTTCAGGTTTCAGTTCGGCTTCCAAGGCCCCTGTCGCATTCTCCAACCGTCTAACCCGTCCCAATCTCCCTGATCTTCCAAATCTCCCAGGTAAACCTACAATTTAAATCTTTTTTGGGCGGGGGTACCGGGGATCGAACTCGGGTCCTTGCGCTTGCGCAGCAGGTGGCAGAACTACTGAGCTAAATCCCCGGCCCAACAACTCAAATTTTAACACAGGCTTCTTGTATCCCCAGGCGGAAAAAGAAGGCCCATGGCATAGCCCAGGCAGATCGGGACACCCCAACCCCCTTTCACCTCTGACAGCTCTCGAAGCAGAAGCCCCCTTGGGGCGCCAGCGCAGGCTTCAGCATCTAGCGTCAGGCAGGGCCGATGGGTCATTCGGATGACTGGGTTCAGGCAACAGAAAAGCCTCAGCCTCAGCTTCTGTAGGGCTTTATAGCTGAAGCTGAGCTTGCTTTCGCTTTCGCATCCACTCCCCTCCAGAGGCCGTTTTTTGCGTTTTCTTTCACTTTCACCTGTGGTCCGAGGTAGCTTGGAAAGGGGGTGATGTCCTCTGCCAACCCTTCATGCCATTCCCTGAACCCCGTATCTGGAACAGGGGGACGACAGCTCTTTCCCCTCTGGCCATTCTTACCCTAACCCCAACTCCAGCCTCAGGTGTCAGTGCACTGAAGTGGAGCCTGTGGCTAGGTCTCTGTTGGCGTTACTGCCTCTCAATGTATCAGACCTGGTTGACGTTTGTCCTTTTCACCCTTCTTCCAATTCCTGCCTTTTTTGCCTCTGCGCCCTCCTGGAAACCTCAAACAATAAAGCTCAGTCCTCAGCCACAGTGATGCTGGTCCTTCCATTTTCCCTTTTCCCCTCTCAAGGGGGTACTGTACACTGCAGGTGTAGCTCAGTGGTACAGCACTTGCCTAGCATGCATGAGGCCCTGGGTTTCAGCCTCAACACTATAAATAAAACCATTATAGAATGATCTGATTAATAGCTGTCACTGCCCTGGATTTTTTTGTTTGTTTTTGTTTTGAGACAGGGTCTCCCTATATAGTTCAGGCCGACTTTACATTCCTTTTGTGGCCCAGGCTGGCCTCAAACTCACACCAATCCTTTTGCCTCAGCCTCTACAGAATGCTAGCATTACTGGTATGTGCCATTAAGCCCAACTCCTCCAGATTCTAAACTTTGTTTTTTGAGACAGGGTCTAGCTATGTAGTCCAGGCTGGCCTTGAACTCTCGGTGATCTTCCTGTCTCAGCCCCCTCAAGTGCTGAGATCATAGGCATGTGCCACCACACTTGGCTAAACTTAGTTTTTTGGTGCTGGGGGTGGAATACAGGGCTTTGTATTCACTGGGCTACACCCTCAGCCCCTAGATTCTGCACTTGTACATCTGCTACCCACCCAGCACTTTTCAAAGGGCCATGAGGAGCTGGGACAAACAGCTCAGATCATCCTTTGTGTCCCCAAACTACAGCTGTGGGTACAGCCAACTCCAGTGCCTACATCCTGCACAGAAGCAGGCTGCCTGAGCAGCTTAACCAGAATGGGAAGCCACACATCCCAGGATCCAGCGCAATCTCAGGCCTTAGCAGGGCCTATCTTGCCTCATGTTCCTGAGCCCTGGGCCTGATGCACGAATCCTAGATGTGGGGACCCCAACAGTACCTCCTTCTTAACAGACAGGGCTTACAGCAGGAAAGGTCTTTTATTCAGGGGGCAGGGGCCCTGGGCTGGCAGTTGGGGGTGCAGGGGTGCCCTGGCGGTAGGCACCCAGTAGGATGGCATTGATGTACTCCAGTGTCTGGTTGCTGAACACCATATTGAGGTGCTGTGTCCCATTCATGGGCAGCAAGTATACAGACTGTGGTTGGCGGCCCTGCCAGAGGCCACAGAGCTCACTGCTGCGTGTGGCCACTGTGTCATCACCGTCTTCATAAATCACATTCACGGGGTCTGAGTAGGGGAAGCCGTGGTCATAGATGTAGGTGCTGGGGGTAGATAGCCCCACACCGTATAGACAGTATACTTCCACACCAGGTGCTGGGAGGCCTGCCAGCAGGTCACGTGACTGTAGCCACATGTACCAGCCATCCTCAAAATGCAGGTCAGCAAAGAAGCGCTGGAAGTCACGGCCTGTGTAGTTGAAGCTTGGTGTGGAAATGAACACATGGCCCTCAGGCCACACCTGGTAGGAGGGAAACATCCAGGGGGAAGTCGTCGTTATTCGCTGTTCCTCTCTCAGCTTGATGCTGGACATGAGCGGGATGCCTTGGTTGTTACCTGTGAACACAGAGCAAGGTAGGACAGGAAGCTGGGCCTGGCTACCTCTGGCCCACAATTTGCCCCTAGTCTAAGCTCAGTTGGATGCTCAGGATTGTCCCTGGCCTGAATTAGCTTGCTAAGACTAGAGCAGGCATGGTTTTCAGTAGGTGCTCAATGTGTGCTTATTAAATGAAAAGCCATGAATTATGGTATCTCTATAAGACAGATCTGTAGGGCCTCAAGGTGGTGGTGGGGGATGCTTCCTGAGGATGGGCTGTGTGAATGGTGTGGGGGTTGCTGGCTTTTCTTTCTCAGGCTCTGTGTAAGGCCTATGCTGCACAGGGGCCACAGGATTGTTTGGGGAAGGATGAAAAAAGATGGCCCTCCACTTAACTGGTGTATTCTGTGTTTTTATCACCTGAGTGTGAGCTTCTAGGGGGAAAACCAAGGCTGGCTGGGTCCAGCATACAGTGGGTTCTCAACAGGTGGTATCTGTGTCTGCTGGGTCTCCAATCTACCCCTCAGGGAAGGGCAGGAAGGGCAGGAAGGGCTCCTGGGTCTACCCCTGGCTGTGGAGGATCTGTCCTCAATAAGGCAAATGCCTGGGCACAGGGGCTCCTGGGAGCAAAAGGTAGCTGAAAGTGGACAGGACCTGGGACCACAAGGAACAAACTGTTGAGTCAGATTGCTGGGATTCACTTCCTGTTTACTTCTTCTTTGTCATTACTATACAGACTTTGGGAGGGACCATCCTAATGGCCCTGCCAAGGCTATTGTTCTTGGGGAACTAATGACAGCAGGCATACCCAGGAGTGGTAACTAAAAGCCCCAGATGCCAGCTCCATGGTTGCTTTATTTTACCCCCACCACTCACAGGTCACAGGTGATCAGAGGCCCTCTTACCTGTGGCCAAAACCAGCATTGGCTTGGTAGAACCGCCCCAGGGAGCCCCAAGTGAGATGAAGCCATCAATGAAGTGGTCCTTCCATGACTGGGGCTGACGCAGCAAAAAATAGAGTAATTGAAGGCAGCCAAGGCTGTGCCCAATGAGGAAGACAGGCTTCCCATAAGCAGCATACATCTCCTCCACGAGCCTGGCCAGCTTCTGGTAGTACTCCTCCTGCTGGCCTGCAGGGGGGTGGATGATGGGTCAGGGCAGTAGATTCAGGGACCACTTGCCTTGCCCCAGGTCCATCACCTGGACACTTACTGGGCTCCAGGCGCCAGTCATAGGGGGCAGCCCGCACTGTCTCATCCCGCACATACCCATTGTTGACCAGATTCTGTACCAGGGTGTGCATGTAACCTGGAGGCAGAAGCAATGGAGCTCTGGTTATGACACCTGCAAGCCAACCCTGCTGGCTCATCACGGCCCAGAGCCCCTAGCCTTTCTTCCAGTCTACACACCTGCTAGCTTGTTGCTGTCCAAGTACTCAACAGAGTAGGTCTTGCCAAAGCCAGGGACACGGATCTCTACACCAGGGGCATTAGACACACGTCCAGAACTTCGGTTGTAGACAACCCTGGGGGTATTAGGACATTCAGCAGCCAGTAGCCAAGGGGCAATGTGAGGCTGGGAAAAGCAAATAGCACATACCTGGTATTATCAATCCAGCAGTCCACCCCAAAGGGTAGAAACATATTGAGATCCAGCCAGATGGTAAAGAAGTCCTCTGTCTTGCGGTAGCACATCCAGTTCACCACATCCGGTTTATCCAGCTTGGCTTCTAGCTGATTCCCCAGGCAGCCAGGCACTGTGGGCACCGGCTCTCACTCTGGACTCCTTGGTTTCCCCACCATGATCCCACCCTTCCACCTCCCTCACCCTCAACTCCCAGGCATTAACAACATGTATCCTCTCCTGATCACACCCCCTTCCTCTCCCACCCCTCCCCCTCACCTTAGTAGCCCAAAGCCCAAGCTCCCCATAGGCAGGGAAGGTGCAGGAGCTAAGGCCACTGACCACTAACCCCACAAAGCAAACATCCAGCCTGGCTTTCTATTATTGCCAAAGTCCAAGGTTTGGTGTTGTGGGGGCTGGGCCTAGAGCAGGGGGCAGGCTTTCATGGGCTTCTCCTGCTGCCCGGCCTTGGGCTGGGCATCTTGTTTTTGGTGGGGTAGGGGCCAAGGAAGAAGTGGTGGGGCTTGACCCAGAGTCTAATGTGGCCACTGCTGACTACAGCTTGTAATGTCCTAGCCAAGACATCAGGTACCCCCGTACCCTGTCTTGCCCTCCTGGAATAGACAATCCGGAGACACAGAAAAGTGTGGTAAACGAAAGGATAATTTCTCTGCAGGAGAGTCCTTGGTCCCTCCCCATAGTGGGGCAGGCACCAGGGCTAATGCAAGGGCAGAGCCTTGGCAGTGTCTGCTGCCCAGGGCTAGGGCTCCAGGCTCCCCAGCTGGTGCATCAGGGGCCTGGTGGGGGCTTACCGAGGATGACTGGCCGTGTGTGGTTACTGAGTTCAGCCTTAGGCGTGGTGTGCGGGGGGAAGAGCACATTGAGGAGCCAGAAAGGGGAAGCAGGGGGGAGCAGCAGTAGCAGCAGCACCCATTGCCATGGGGAGCCGGGCGGCCCCATTCCAGCCCAGTGCCTACTCCAGATGAAGCAGCCTTGGGCTGGCCTTATCTGGTATGAGAGTGGGAGGGGCCCCAGGGCTGGTGGGAGGGACAGCCTGGCCAATGGGGGTGGCCATTGCCAGGAAGGGGCACAGCCTCAGGGAGCCGGCTCTGGGCCTGGGTTCAGTTCTGCCTTCTTCCCTTGGCGCCAGAGGAAACAGCCAGGGCAGCAGGAGGCCCAGAAGTACACAATGTTTTATTGAAAAAAGTCAGGCCTCAGCTCAGCCAGATCCATTCTGCTTGGCTTGGTGGGGGTCCCTGTACACAATAGCCCAAGCCAGGTCTTCCTGCAGGCAGGCTGGGCTTGACCCCCTCCCTTACTGCCTTTCCCTTCTCTCTGATGGTGACATACAAACAATAAATATACAATAAATAGTGTTGCAGGGCCGGGCTGGGCCTCCAAACTCCACATTAGCCCCTACCAGTCTTCTCTAGCAGGGCAAGACTACTGGGGTCCCGGAGGCCAAGTCAATCCCCAAACCTCCCAGGGTCCTACAGGACATCAGATCCATCTCCATTGCCAGGCCCAGGCCTGGTTTTCCGGGAGACCTAGCAAAGCCGGTCCAAGGCAAGGCTGGGTGAAGCAGAGCTGGCAAGTAAGTGCTGGGGGAGGAGAGCTGTTGCCCTGGACACCCCCACTCCAGGTCACAAGACTACACTGGGCTCAGGAGTAGATGGTGATGACTTCACGGCCACCGCCACGCACCAACAACACCCGCTCAAGGCCCTCAGTCAGCACCTCAAGGAACTCCATGTCTGCAGGGCATCAGGTCAAGGAGGCAACAGCAAGACCAAGGGGCAACCAGGCCACCCCCACCCAGAGGAAGCCAGGGAACTTGACCTGACTTTAAGTTGTCCATCCCCCACTGTCTGCCTCTCCAAAAAAGGGATACAGTTCTCATCACCCTCGCTGTTTTTGGGTGGGCCAGGCATGTTCAGTAGGACCAGGCGGGCATCGTGGGATCGTGTGACAATGACTTCATTGAGCTTTACAGCAGTGTGCATGCGTCGCACATTGGACTGGTCCCTGTAGGTAATGCATCTGATCACTGGAAACCATCTAGCAAGGAGGCCTCCCACACAGCCTGTCTGAACCCTCCTTGCATCTACCTGAGACCCCAGTGTAGCTGAGTCTGATTTTACTGCACTCACGGCTTAATATGCACCAGCTCCCGGAAGTTGTCAGGGGCATGGCTGGGGTCCCAGGGCTCAGTCATGTGCTTGTCTCGGGTCCATGTCATTTGGATCTTGTCAGCCCCTGCTGCAGACTCGTCTTCCTCGTCTGAGTACAGGCTTTCCAGACGCAAAGCTGAGTGCCTATCCTTGACCAGTTGTGCCTGGGGACAATCAGAGCAGGTAGCCGAGGGCCCCTGGGAAAAGGGGGTCCTGGCTGGTGGGTCATAACCACTCTGCCTCCAGGAAATAAGCACTGGCTCAGGAGGGGCTAGGGTGAGTCATTCTTTTTCCTTTCCCCCCTTTCTCCTTTTCTCAATCTTAATCTCAATCTCTCAGTCTCTCCCTTTCTCTTCCTACTTCAGCCTCTCAAGAGGGCTAGGATTAAAGGTGTACACCACAATGAGGCTTAGGGTGAGTCTTTCTTATGCCCCCACCTAATAGTGTCTCCAGAGGCCTGCTTCTGCCACCCGCCTCCAACCTGAACCAAAGCAACCACTGACTTCTCGCTCCCGCTCAGTCTTGGTCAGCCGCATCTGCCGCAGCATCTGGGACCGCTGTTCCATCATCAGTGTGCGTTCGTAGGTGTAGGCAGATATGTCGCTGTTATGCTGGGGAGAGGGGAAGCTGTGAGGATTGGACTGCATGGTCCTCCACATTGTCAGGGCTAGGCTGGGGAAGGGCAGCTCACCATCTCCACCACCTCCACCTCTGCCTCAAGGCGGAGGTGGTAGAGGAAGATGGCCAAATCCTTCTTCATCTGGATGCTATTGTCATCCATCTGGGCCACTGTGAAGATTCGCATCCGGCACTTCCTCCAAACCTGTGGCAAAGGAGCAAGGGGCTGATTCAATCACACCTGATACTCCGAGTGGCCAGCCACTCCCCCATGCCCATTTGCCCAACCCACCTTATGCTGGCGGAGCAGGAAGGGCAAAAGCATGAGCATGCCACCATCGTGCACGATCCACCATACATCAATGTGGCCCTCCAGGTAGCGCTCATGGTTGCTGGGGTAGAAGGCGATGTTCTTGGGCACCAGCAGGGCCAGATGGGCAGCTGTGGTGCAGCGCACAGTGTCTGGGGAGGAGGGACATGGCTGACTGCCAGCCTGTGGCCTTTTGGCTTCTGCCACCTCACATGACCCTGGCCCCTGGCCCCTGGCCCCTGGCCCACCTGGCCCATCCCCCTCACACACCAATAAAGGTCTTCCAGGCACGGGGGTCCTCACTCTGTCGCCAGCCATAGGGCCAGCCCAGCACCACGGAGTTATGCCTCATGCCGCCTAGGCCGCAAGACTGGATGAGGTGAGCCAGTCCCTCACGCACCTTGCTGGCCACCACTACCTGGCAGAAGCCTTTTACTTTCTCAATCTCCATCATGTTCTTGATTGTCTGTGGGGAATACACCAGCATCAGAAAGCAAGGCCACCAGCACCTCCCTCTGTCGGGGTCCCTTCCAGAGTCCTAGGGCAATAACTATTTAGGGGTGGGAGAGGCCTGAACAAGCTGCTCACACTTTCAAGATGGGGTAGCTATAACTCTTTGTTCCAGCTCATTACATGCCAGCTACAGCCCAGATACCATTGGTCTCACTCAGCTCCTTCCAACCCCCCAGCAGGCACCTGCTCAGCAGCCTGGGCCTCGCCATAGCTCTCCAAGAAGCTGCCCTGGATGACAGAGCCAACAATTGTCAGGCCCTTGCCTGCCTTAAGCTGGGAGGCAAAGGTGAGGAGCCGGGGGTACTTCACATGAAGGTCCTCGTCTAGCTTCAGGAGCACCAGGAGCTGAGGCCTGCAGCGGGCAGAATGAGACCAGCAGGCTTCAGGGACTCCTTCCACTCCTTCCCTTCTCAGAACATGGCCCCCACAGGTTTGGGTAGTGTGGACCCAAGGGCTTGGCAAGTAGGAGGGTGTCTCTGGCAATGCCAGGACAGGTAACCTGGACTAGAGTGGGAGCCAGCACCTCCTGACCCTCCCATCCTCACAGCACTCCCTAAGGACCTTGAGATGGCCCTTTGCCATTCTGGTAGTGAACTCACCGCCAGTTCTTGGTGTGAGGAGGGCCCTCCTCTAGCCGTAACAGTGCATAGCGGGCAGCGCTCAGGGATAGGCCTCGAATACCATCACCCCACTCCTTCTCAGCCCTGTAGATACCACCACAAGCTGGTGAGTCCCTGGTTCCAGTTAGAAATTTCTTTTTCTTTTTTGTGGTGCTGGGGACTGAACTAGGGCCTCACATGTTAAGTAAGTGCTTTACTGCTGAGCCACACCCCCCAGCCCCTCTTCTAGGGTTTTTGTCTATGTGAATGTGGGATGGAAGGGGTCCAGGCCCTGAGTCACAGCTTCTCAGTCCTACCACCCATGATGGACGGCAAAGGTGGCCCAGCTCCCTCCACAACCCAACATTGAGACCATCTGCTCAGTGTTGTATGGGCTGTTAATGAAGGCCAGGTAGCAGCCCTTCACTCACCCTTGGTACTCGATGTACTTGTAGATCATGCCCGCAATGAGCATGGCGACCAGGGCATAGTACCAGGAGGAGACAAACATAAGGGCCAGGCAGAGGCTCATGCCCAAGAAGGACAGCGCCCTAGGCCAGAGTGGAGGAAAGGTAGGAATCAGAGCAAGACCAATGGGGGCCCTGGGACATGGCCCATCCTATGTCCTAGAAGCCCTGTCAGGTTCCAGGTCACAAACTAGGTGCAGCTTCATAGTCTCCCTCTTCATAGCATTTTATTAAGATCAGTTACTACCTAGGAAATTCAAACCGTATCACAATGGGGCTCCTACACTCCCCAATACCTCCCATGTTGGGAACTTGGCTCTAGGGTCCAGGGGCTACTTACCAGTGATAATATTTGAACCGAGGCCGCCAGTTGGGGGTCCTCAAGAGTGTCTGGACAGCACAGGCCAGGTTCACAAAGAGGTAACACATCAGAAAGAACCTGCAGCACAGGGAGGCAGCTTCCTTATTACTTCCAGGTGCCTCATGTCAGGCTGGCCCTGGACCAGAAACTGGGCCACGTCATATCCCATCCTGCATGGGCTCAGTTGCATTTTCTCTACCTCATAGCACCCATTCCCATGGCCTGATGCAGGTGGAGCTACTCTCGAGGTGTCCTCACAGCCAAATGGAAAGAGAATGGGCAAGTGTTCACCAGCAGAGGGGCTGGGGAGGGGACACAGGCCAGGGAATAGCTGGGACAGGATGGCATTGAGGAGTGGTGGGGAGAGCTCAGTGGAAATCGCTAGACAATATTCAGGCCTCTGATCTAGACAACTAGTTGGATAAGGGGGTGTCATGGATGTGGGGAAGAGAAGCAGGTCAAGAAGACAATGAGGAGCTGGGCACAGTGGTGCATGCTTGTAATCCAAGCATTTGGGAGACTGAGGCAGAGTTCCTTAAGTGCCCGGCCAAGTTGAGCTACACAGTGAGTTCAAGGCCAGCCTGGGCTACATAGTAAGACCCTGTCTCAAAAGAAGAGAAAAAGAAAAAAAGAAGATAACAAGGAAGACAAGGAAGCCAGGTGTGGTGGCACATGCGCATAATCTCAAAGCTCTGGGAGGCTGAGGCAAAAGGATGGCAAGTTTTAGCTCAACCTAAGCAATTTAGCTAAGTGACTTAGAGTGACTCTGTCTCAAAAAAAAAAAAGGCTTGGGTGGGGGAGGTAGCTCAGTGTGAAGGCCCTGGGTTCAATCACTAGTTGTGTTTTGTTTTGTTTTGTTTTTAGTACTGGGGATCGAACTCAGGACCTTGTGCTTGCGAGGCAGGTGCGCCACCACTGAGCTAAATCCCCAGCCCCAATTCAATCACTAGTAACTGCAAAAAAGATGACAAGGACTACGTGAAAGCACTGAGTTAGAGACATACAAGACACTGCAGTGGGTGTTGGGGTTGGAGACATGGGCAAGGGCTGCTGCATGACGCCCCCTGGGAAGGCAGCCAAGGAGCAGCGGGCTGAGAGGTGGGGGTACCAACCTCCACTGTCGGCTGACAAAGGAAGAGTGACAAGAAGGCAGAAGGACTCCTGAGAGGTCTGCAATGAGAGGTAACTCTCATCAATGGTTACTAGCAAGAGCCTCATGATAAAGGCTGAGCTCTGTCCTCTGGCTTGCACAAGAGGAGTCACCACTCAAGATAACTGTGGCAAGAACACTTTGAGGTCTCCACTGAGGGACGGGGTGTGCTGAGGGGACAAGAAATGGCATGTCTGGCTGTGGTCCAGGTGGATGCTGCTGGCGGTGAGGAGAATAGGCAGTGAGGGGTAGGTCCTTCATAACTGCACAAGCAAAGGCCACATGCCATGGAGCAGAATGCACAAGGACCCCAACAAAGGCAGGGCTAAACACAGCATCTGAAAAAGTTCTGCCTCAGGGACCCCTGGGAATTGCCATGTGTTGACTACCACCTGCAAGGCACTGGCACTCATTTGCCTAGCTGCTTCCACGTATTTACAAGCAATTAACATTGAAAATGATGGTTAGGCTGGGCATGGAGGCACATGCCTGTAATCCCAGGTACTTGGGAGGCTGAGACAGGACTGCAATTTTGAGCCCAGACTGGGCAACTCAGTGAGACCCCACCTCAAAATAAGTAAAAAAGGCTGGAGATGTAGCTCAGTGGTAGAGTCCCTGCCTAGCATGAACGATGTCCTGATTTCAACCCCCAGTACTGCAGGTGGGAAAAAAATGGATGGGGTAGTGGTAGCTTTATCAAGGTACAAGGGACCAGGGATAGAGGTCTGCTGATCTGCTCTGGGGAGTCTCCCACAGGCGGGTATGAACCTTGTTGGTTTCTTTGTAGCTTCTATATAGATGCCAGGCTAGCTCCTGAATGCAGGAGTAGGCTGAGCCCTGCCAGGCAACATCTCACAGAGCCTGGCAGGTGTCCCAGCCACTCCCTCAACATCAACAGGGTCATGAGGAGCTGCTGGGGGCCCAAGCTGAGGGGTATGGGGGTTCTGGGAGCTTTTCCCAAGACCATCCCTCGCCCCAGTCCCAGCTTACATGGATAGAATGGGGGCCACCATGTCGAGGGAAGCAATAAGGATGCCAAGCTCAGCGATGAGCGCAGTCAGGAGGAGTGCCCAAGTTGGTTCGCCATTCGCCTTTCCGTGGCCAAATACCTGCAGGCACCAGAGAAGTATTTGGTCCTATCTGCCTCCCACACCTGGGTCCACAAGGTGCAGGCCACCCCCAAGTCTATCTATATGAAGGTCACACGTTTCCAGGCTTCTCTGCTCTGGATAAGCCCCAGACAGGCCATAAGGATTCTGGGCCTAAGCAGCTCTGCCAACAGTAGGAAGGGCCAGGGAAACTCTGGTAGCTCGTTAGGGGTGTGCTGCATCTGGATTTCCTCTCTCCCCCAGCCAGTATAAAGCACCAGGAGAAGCCAGGTTGTGGGGCTCACCCGGAGGAAGGGAATGATGTTGTCCTTGGCGATGGCCTGCAACAGGCGTGGTGCCCCAGTGAGGCTCTGGAGGCCAGCGCCACATGTTGAGAAGAAGGAGCCAATAACAATGACCCAGGGCGAAGGCCAGGCCAATGTGCCCACCACCAGGTTCCTGCTGACACCATCCCCATACCTGCAGGGGCCAGGTTCAGACAGTGTTTCAGGTGAGGAGGCCACCCACAGTTACAGATGTCAGGGGTCAGGAAGGAAAGCTCTAGGGGCTGAACTCTGGCCTTTGGTGGAGAAGGCTGGTCACCAGCCCCTATCCTGCATCCCTACCCCTTTCCCCTACCCTGATCCCAATGTCACCATCCTCTCAGAAGCAAAAGTTCTGCAGGGTTCCGAACCCACCTCGTGGCACAGACCACCATGGGCAGCCAGCAGCCTGAGGGGGATGAGGAACATGGCAGGGAGGCTGTGTGAGGGGAGGTAAAAGCTGAGCCAGTGACACAGGAGGGGGTGTGGGTCACTCACTTGTCCCGGAGCACCACACCCTCGATGCAGGCACCAAAGAGAACCACACTGCTGAAGTCTGTACTTCGTCAAGGAAGCTAGGCCTCCACTGCAGCTGCCTGGCTCACTTCTCACAGAGGATCTAAGAGGCCTTCACCTCAGCCTCTGCGCACAGACAGCTGAGGGGTCGGTCTGTGGTATGCAAATGTGTGCGCCTCGAGTGGGTGTGCGTGTGTGTGGGCAGGCATATATGGTTTATCTGCGCATGCTGACTGGCTACTCGCCCCCATGCTGCCCCAGGCCTGGAAAGGATACACACAAGTGAAGTTGTAACGATGGCCAGAATGGTTCCCACCGGGATGGACTTCTGGGCATCACGGAGGTCCCCGGAGCGATTGGAGCCAGCCATGATGCCTCCAAAACACATGAAAGAGACTCCCTCAGGGGGCTGCCCAGGACTGGGGACAGGGGTGGTTGGGCAGGCAAGAGGGGCTCACCTGTTACAGAGGGGAAGAAAATGCCAACCAACACTGTGAAGGATGTGGCAATGTCAGCCATCACGTACTGGGGCAGACTGTCCTTCAGGCTGAGAGTGTCCACGGAGGGCAGCCCATGCTTCTCCACCACCTCGCCCTTCTCCAGGTAGGCACTCCACAGGTTTTCTGTGGGGGGATCAACATTACCATCACAACCCCACTGTCCTCCCCAGGACAGTCTAGGGCAGCCTAGCTGGAGGCTGCAGATATAGAGAAGGTCTGGGGACTTGGGGGACAGCTTCAGTCCAGTGGCTGGTGTCTGCTAGAAGCTGTCGGTTAGAAGTCTGACAAAGGTGGCTGAGCCATCATCGGCCAAAGCCCCACCATTGCCTGCCTCCCAGACAGAGGCCCTTTATGGGTCCTATGGGAACATCCCCAGGCACATCAGAGGCTGGTGGCCAGGGGAAGAGGGGCTGCCAGAATTTTCCAGGGCTGCTGCAGGCCCGGGATGCTAGCCAAACAGCCTCTGTTCACCCGAAACTCAGCTGCCAGGAGCCAGGCTGGGAGGACACTGCTGAGTTGGGAAGGCAGCCAGACTGGCCCCCATTCCTGAGCTGGCCACACAAGGACAGCTCTGTGTTGTGCTCTCCTGTGCAGCCTTCGGGCTCAGGGATAGGAAGGAGGACCTACCCTGGAGCACACCAGCAGCTGCCCCAGGGATGCCAGGGATCTCAGTCACATTGTTGAGCAGGAAGTAGGGGTCACAGGAATCAGTGGTAAGGTTGGGACTGTGGCAGAATAAACTCCACAGGTGGGTGGCCACTGTCTCATTGTCCACCACAGCTGTCTTGGCGCAGATATCAAACTGGTCCCGGGACAGAGTCCTGTTGCCTAGCATGCATACCCTGTGGGGACAGAGGCATCAGCACCTGCTCAGCTGGAGACCCCAGTCTGTCCCAACCCTGCAGTCTTAGGGAACACAGGGCATCAAAGGCTGTCCATGTGGTATATGTGCTGTCAAAGCGAGCACAAGGTTGTCCACTTGGAAAGGATGTCAGTGTAATGCCTGGATAAATGACAGTTACTTACGGAAACACAGGAGGGTCAAAAATAGACTTGATGCCTCCAGCATAGATGGAAAGGATGGAGATGATCACACAGGCCAGGAAGAGTGAAGCGAATTTGTTCACATACTTGACACCAACAAACACCACTAGGGTCATAAATGTCAGAAAAATGGTCCCGTACACACGCATATTGTTCAAGGTGGCATTTGATGTGTCATGAGCACCCAATGGGTAAAAAATGGCAGCTGGTGGGGCAATGTAGGTCTGAAACAAGAAGATAGATGCAGAGTATTCAATCTTCTTATTTTGGTGGTTTGAAGAGCAAAACATGTCATTTTGGTTTTCTTTTTTCTTTTTTTGGTACCAGGAATCAAACTCGACCTTGTGCTTGTGAGGCAGGCTGCAAAACCACTGAGCTAAATCCCCGGTATTTTGGTTTCCTTTTTAAAAGTGTATTTTGGGGCCAGGGATTTAGCTCAGTGGTTCCGCCGCCTGCCTTGCAAGTGGAAGGATCCAAGTTTGATCCCCGGTACCAAAAAAAAAAAAAAAGACACTACTCCTGTCTTTGCTCCTAAGACATCCCATAGCAAATACAGAAGAAATTTAACTTAAGTTGAAATTACATGATTTATTCCTAAATTACAA